CTTTCCCTAGGGGGTAGGAGACCAAAACTAGAGGGCATAGGTTTATGGTGACAGTAAAGATTTGAAAAGGACCTAGGGGGCAACTTTTTCCCTAGTGGGTGGTGTGCATGGAATGAGCTGCCAGAGGAAGTGGTAGCAGTGAGTGCAACTACAACATTTAAAGAGACATTTGAACACAGATGGATAGGAATGGTTTAAGAGGGATGTGCCAAATGCTAGCAGGTGGACTAGCTTTATATAGGATATCTGTTTGGCATGGACCAGTTGGACTGAAGGGTCTGTTTCTGTGCTGTATCTCTGACTAGGTCACTCCAGATCCATATCAATGTGGCTGATTCAACGGCCCTCTGAGCAATTAGAGATGGGCAATAAGTGCTAGCCTAGCCAGTAACACCTTTAAGGGCCTATCAACTGCTCATCCAAGTATTTACTGGTTGAAGGATTTCCTGCCTTAACTACTCTCCCAGGCAGTGCATTCTTGATAATACCGCCTGTAACCACCCATTGGTGGGAAACAGTGTTCCTCATCCATCTGAAATTTTGTCCCCTTGCTACTGACCCTTTCAAGGGTAACAGCTGTTTTCTATCCAGAATGTCCATGCCCCTCAGTCAGGTTCCTATCAACATTCTCTGCCCCAAAAGAAAGGCTGGGTAAGCTTAGGTTTTCCTACAAAAACCTATCCTAAGCAACATCTTGGATCCTGAACTGCACACAGTACTCTAACTATGGCCCAAAGTCCCGTACAAAACCAATATGACATCCCTGCTCATGATCTATGCCACAACTGAAAAGGCAGGATATGGGATGTTTGCCTAACTATATTAAAGGACCTATCCTGCCATCTTTGGTGGCATTTATAGGCCAGCATTCCTCTTCTGGATATTCCTAATATCCAGATCAGACTACTGTTTTGCTCCTTCTAAACTGCATTACCTCATTTATAGTGGTTGTGGTGGTGGGGGGGGGGGGGGTTCATTTGCCACTGATCTGCTCAATCGAAGGCCTTTCCTCACTGGTCAACCATGTGGCCAATTTTGTCATCTGCAAGAAAACTTATTCCGTCCACTGTCATCCACACCACTCATTCAGGAAGTGAGTGTATGCCATCACAACCAACTTGGGCCTTGTGGATTGACATTGACAAGTCAGGTGGTCTGTTAGTTGATGCATGATTTCTACTTTAACCAGCCAAAGAGAGGCTATAGGATTGGATTAACGTTAATTTTCATTATCTGGAATGTGATGAGTGTAGCTATAGTAGTACAATTCAATGTCCGAGGCAGCTACAGCTACTACTACGTTTATGGAAGGACAGAAGGTCTTGGACAATGCAGCCGAAGATGGCAGCATCTGGAAGAAACTCTTGTAGAGGTTTAGGGTCGAGACTGCCATCCAGCTTTCTTGCTGGATTGGTCTAACCAGAAGTAGTACCCTACCCTAAATGATAGCCATCACATGGGATTTAGGGCTCCTAATGACTGCCAAATGTGATGTCAAGGGCATGTTGTTCACCTCAGCTTTGGTGAGTCAAATCTTTTGCCTTTTGCTGGACAAGAGGGTTAAATAGTCTTGGCAGAAGAATTCAACTTGATCAGATTATCAAGACATTTCCTTAATAAGAGTGACTCTTCCATTGCTTTGATCAAGATAGTGGTGGTAACTGACTGAGTGGAATTTATTCAGTTGTCTGTACAGATTTTCAGTAATTTTACACATTGTTGGTAGATGTTAGTGGTAATTGCACTTAAATCAGCTTGGCTGGGGCATGGCTCATTCTGGAATAAGCTTTCTATATCATTGTCAGAATATGTACATGAAGTAGTACAAGGTTGGTCAGAGGAAACAGAAGGGTTTCTACAGGACACTTCAAGCCAGTGGACCTGTCCACATTAAGTACCCAGCTAACCAAAAATGAGGATGCCACTGTCAGACTATTAGTAACTGTGTAGATGACAGCATGAAGTTAATCTCCATGTTCACCAACCAGAAACCATAGATGAACTGGGAGATCCACTCCCTACTGAAGTCCAGGACTGAGGTGTTCAAGTCAGGTGACCCTAGCCTATTCTGAAGTCATACCTTATCCTCTGCAAAGCCAGTGATGTCAAGAGGCAATACCAAACTAAGTTGGGGATATAGCCCAAACACATGGACATCGGTTTGTGGCAAAGCTTATCACAAAGTAAAGTTGAACAGAATTGCATGCAACAGTATATGCCTGATGAGCTCAATGCATTCTACACTGTTTCGTTACCCTTCTGTTCAAGGTCACCTGCCCCCTTGGTCACTGCTGCAGACAATAAAGAAAAAAAAATTAAGAGCAACAAACAATAGTAGACAGGCCTTAAATGGTGAAGGCATGGAAAGTGACTGGCCTGGATGGAGTCATGGTCATGTACTTAAATCTTGCACGTAGCAGCTGGCAGGAGTATTTGCTGACATCTGAACTTCAAGTCCCCACCGGCTCCAAGACCAAAAGAGTGACAAAATAAAAAAAATCCCACAATGGAACATCATGCAAAGGCATCAAATCTGGAGGCTTGACATCCATAATTATGGAGTGCTTAGACACTATTAGTGTCAGCCATGACCTGCAGCCTCCTAGACTGCCTTGATCCCTTGCAGTTTGTCTACTGACAACAGGTCTACTGTTTTATGACTAGTGGAATCTACACAAGTCTCCTCCATTTTTGGATGTACCTGTATTAGACTGCAGTAGTTCATCACCCAAGGGCAACAAACATTAAGTGTATAGCAAAGTCACATTAAGTGTATCGGACATCAAGCAACAAGGTTAAAGTGATTCTGCTGATGGCCTACAGATCAGGCCCACTGAAGATGATGGATCTATGATCATGGCACCTTTTAAATAAAGGGTATCCTCAATATGAAATTAGGACTTTATGTCCACAAGAACTGGTGATCAACAAGCTATTGAACAATACTAATTGATGGTAATCCAGTTTCCTTGCTGTATCTGGCAAGGTGTGCCAAGACACCATGGTCCTGTTTTGACTCCTATTTTAGGAAACCAATGTTTAGGGCTTCTAAAGAATTCCCTTTGGTTGCAGTGCTATCACGTTTGTCTGGACAATGGACTTGACAATACACAGGAATGGTGAAATCTGTGGCAGACTTGTACTTGAGACAAGTAATATGACCTAAGCTGTTGCTCTACTAATCTACAGGGCAACTCCAATTTCTGAACTACCCTTGGATGTTGGTGAGGACTTGCAGTCAGTCAATAGAGGTGTTTGCTATTAGAGTTTCTGGTGTCTAGGTTGATACTGGATGGTAGTTTGACAGTGGCCTGTTAAGCCATTTCAGAGAGTCAGCCACCTTTTGTGGCTATAGTCACAAGCATGGCAAGGTAGAATGGCAGATTTGTCCAGAGTTGCATCAATGAACCAGATGAGTTGGAGGCAGACAGATTCTTTATGGAGTAGGGATGTAGTAGATGCAGACTGAAGGGCATAATTTATGAAGAAGGTTCATAAAAGCACATGGTCTACACTAGATCCAAGAGGAATTGCTGTTTAGGTCATCTTGGTTTGTTTGTGTTGTGCAGCTTTTTTGCTTGAAGATTGATCACCTCCAATTCACTGAACACTGAGCCAATCACAGCAAATAATTTGCATGTAATGGCAATCTGAATACACTGCCTTTATAAGTGTGGAATTTGAAAGAGCAGCTGAAACCACAGATTGTTTTGTGGTAATGAGTTGAATAGCTCTCCACCAGTCACAAGTTACTATCGTGAGAAAATAAAGAACTTAAATCAGCAATCAAACCTCCCTTCCCCAGAGAAAAGCCCATTTGGATCATGTGTATTTATACTATTAGCTGGCACCTCAAGTTGCAACTCAGTTTATTGCTGGGATCTACCTTGCATGTGATCCATGGCAGTGGCAGAAAGTGACCATTTAACATTACTTGAAATTCTTGATGCTAGAGTTGAAAAAGCCTTTAAACGCCAAAAAGTTGCACTGTGATGATCTATACAAGTTCAAGAGAAATACCACTAGAGGACTTAAAAACAAAGTAGCTAGTTATGTACTGATCAGTGCTGGAGTTACCTCTGAATGCAAGTCATTTCTATGTGTCAAAAATCAAGCTATACTAGGGTAGAAACTTGGTCTGTGCACCTACAGGACACTATAGCATACAGCAATCCATTGGCACAGCCAGTAGAGAATTTTTGATAGATTTTTTTCCAAAACTAATTTGTTGCAAAAGGTCATATTCTTCAGAAATGAGAACATGCAAACTTTAAATAGTCAATTGAAACTTAGAAACAATTAAGTGGGACTAGTTTAGTTTGGGAAAAATTGATCAACATGGACAAGTTGGACTGAGGCATTTGAATTCAGTCATGCAGCACAGAAGCTAACTTTGCCAATTATACACTTTCCAAAAGAGGTGCCTCTTGTAGCTTGTGGATCAGCTATTGTTTGAGTTGAGAAGATTTGTAGCTCAGGTTGCTGAT